TTGCGCCGCCGGGCTCGAGCGTTTCGGGGCGAAGCAGATGCGTGACCGCGGAGGATGAGGGGAAAGGGGGAGAGGTGTCCCTGCCCTTCTTTCCCGTCGAGCTCTTGGCGTTTTCGCATCGCGGAGATGTTTCTGGCGGAGGGGCGGCAGGACATCCCCCACCTCTCCTCCCACCTGCTCCGGCAAGGTGTGAGCGGCGAGGTGCAGAACCTCCGGGCTCGATGCAGACACACGCCCCGGCCCCTGGACGAGAGCAGAGCCGGGGGCAGAGCAGCATGGCTAGCGGCGGGGTTAGCAACTCCTCATGCGGAGTGCTTTGCAGCTCCATGCGGAGCGGCCGGGGAACGGGACAGGCGTTCGCGGGGCTGGGCGAGACGCCTGGTTAAACGTGACCTCTGGGTTTAGGCCCTTTTTGGGGGTGCAGGAAAGGGGACGACCCCGCTCCACTCCTTCGGTGGGTTCTGTCGCTGCGGTGTTCCCGTCGCGGGGCAGCCGGGACTGGTTCCCCCCTCCATCGTCTCAGCTCCGCCCGGCGACGCTCACGCGTGATGGAACCCCGCGCGGGCTGCGAGGCCGGGCACGGGATATGGGAACGGGGTGGCGGGATCTTCTCTCAGGGATTTGGGGTTTCGGGGCTGCAGCTCTGCGGTTGGACGGGGACCCGCTCCGCTGCCGCCCGGGGAACAACGATTCCCGGCGGATCCCCTGTTCCCGGTAGACAGCACTCAGCCCTGACCCCGCCGACCAGGTGGACAGGCCGAGGGGCCGGTCCGCGCCCGGGCTGTCCCCGACGTGGCGCCGCTTACAGCTGGAGCTTTACGGAAGGAGCAGGGAAGGAGAAAGGGATAAACGTGGGAAACGGTGAGGGCAGTCAAGGGATGGACAGTAACCCCGAGCTCTCCGACTCTGCTGGGGCGTTGGATTCGTGTCTTTTCTTAATTTCCAGGGGAGAATATTTTCTTTGTTTCTGGGGCAAAGGCTGTCTAGAGCCGGGCGCACCTCGGAGAAGGGGATCGCATCAGCCCTTGAGTTCCTGGAGGCGGCTTGGAGTTCGCACGCGTGGCTCCTCGCTTTCCTCCGGTATTGCCCGGGGTGCCCAAACGAAATCCCTTCCCCTCCCCCTTGTATTGCCGCCAGGTGAGCAGCGCGGGTCAGCACCGGGACACTCTTTTCCGTGGCGTGTCCCTGAGCTCGGGACAGAAGCTGCTCCGGCCGGGAGCCGCGCTGCCAGCAGCAGCAGCAGGGAAACACAACACCGATCGTGTCACGCTCTGCCCTTATGCCGTTAGTTGCAGGAACATATGCTCAAATATGTAAGAGTAGTCTAGATTTTTCTCTGCAAATATTTTTACCACATCCAAAGATAATATTTCAACAGAAGAATCAAGCCCCGCAGGCTACAGACAGGGCAGCTATATATAACCCGCTTGCTCACTCCGGCTCTCCGCGCATCGCTCGGGTTATGCAACCCCCATCGCGGTGGTAGCCACCGGCGCGCCCCACGGCTCCGCCCG